TCATATAATCCTTTATAAATTCCACTTCTTAGGTCCAAGCTATTTTGTTGAAAAGTTGCTCTTTAGGTTATCTTCTTTCAGATAAACGTCCATTAATTGCACGCATTGTGTCAGTGAAATATCATACCTTACATCAGTATCTGGTGAATAAGAGAAAAATAGCTCGATTTGCGTTCTACCTTTCCATTTTTACCATATTTCCTATCGCACTGAGTGGATAAACTTAAGGTGTTCACCTCCACTAAACTATCAAGACGTATATCTTTTATATGCAGAAATGTACCCATGATGTCCAGATTTTTCGGAGTTACAGTCAAATAGTGTTCTATTCTCTTTTGACGTAAATTCTACTGGTTTTTTAGCTTTGGTTTTGTTTTAAAGAATATTACCAGGACAATGAGAAGAGATTGCAGAAAGATTTCGTGGGACGAACTCCACATCATCGAAGCCTTCGAAATGGACACTTGGTATTTGCGTTGCCTCTGCAAAAGTGAATCGTGGTACCAGGGATGGTCTGGTAAAATCAAAGGACGGAACAGATGGACGTGATGTCCGTGATGTCCGTGCTTCAGAGATTTCAGTTACTTCTAAAAATATTCAGTAAAACAATTATGCTTTCGAATTAAAATGGGAACTGTTTACCAGGTCTCTGTTCTATTCTGGTTCGCTGGGTTTTATAATGTGGCATTATAGAAATTATTGCAACATGTTCTTTTCACATGTTCAACATAACAGATACGTTGAATATAAAAGTTATTTTCAAAGAGGAAGGATAAAATTAATATTGTTTTAAACTTTATAATCGAGCAATTGAAATGTCAGCCTTTGTGTCTGTTTGTAGCCAGGGTTCAATAGGTAAAAAATAAAGGTTGCCAAATTTAATATTGTTTTTAAGATACCTTTAGTCATGGTACAATAAAAAGGTATGATAAACGTAATGCAAACCACACACGAAACAACCGATGGTTCCACTTGAAGAGTACCTAAGTTGTATGCTTCGGCTACAACTTGCGCAACTTCACTTTTCGTGGGGATTATTTGAGTTAAGGTGACACCGGAAATAATTTCATGCCGTATAATTGACTCGATACCTTTTATTTATTACTAGCTGAACCCGATGCGCTTCGCTACCCCTCTTGATTTTATATGCATTCAGAATATATGTTGACGTAAAGAAATAAAATAGTTCGGTGTACCAACTCGTTAACATGACAGGAACCGTGAGAAAAGCAGGAACATGACAAATTTTGTCCGCATATATGAAGGGTTTGTCCTACGGATTTATTAATTTCATAGCAACTGTCAAATTCGTATATATATGTACGAGGTGTACAAAATACAGTAAATTCCAAATTACTGCTCATTTGACTGGAAAATTTTGCTACGATTTTTACAATACTAAAAATTAATTTTAGCACATCCACACATTTGAAGCCCATGGCTTAAATATTGAAGTCCACGGCATAAATATGGGTACAGGTATTTTAAAACACTTTTAATCGACCAGTATGTGAACTATTATTTATATATTTATGTGAACTCTTATTTATATATATATATATATATATATATATATATATATATATATATATATATATATATATATATATATATATATATATATATATATATATATATATATATATATATATATATATATATATATATATATATATATATATATATATATATATATATATATATAATAAGAGTTCACATAAATATATAAATAATAGTTCACATACTGGTCGATTAAAAGTGTTTTAAAATACCTGTACCCATATTTATGCCGTGGACTTCAATATTTAAGCCATGGGCTTCAAATGTGTGGATGTGCTAAAATTAATTTTTAGTATTGTAAAAATCGTAGCAAAATTTTTATATATATATATATATATATATATATATATATATATATATATATATATATATGTATATATATATATATATATATATATATATATATATATATATATGCTGAACTAGCTGATTTTATATGCATTCAAAATTTTATTTACGAATATATGTTGGATAAAGAAAAACAAATTTAAAAATTAAAAAAAAAATATTGCATTAATTTAATGCGTTAATAAACAAAATCATTACAAAAGCAGTAACATGACATGCATACACGAAGGGTATGCAACATACTTCGCCGTAATAAGCGTATTTTAAATAAATTGTTGTGTAGTTTTTTAGTGTTAGCCTAAGGCGTTGTGGGTCAATGGTTCTTATTAAAATCATATCCCAATCTGATCCGATTTAAATATAATTTTAAAAAAATTACTTTTACACCAAACTCCGCCACACCTTTCATAATTCATTGAAATTGGTGCGTCAAATGTGTGAAATCGGCCGAGAATATATATATGGGAGCTATATCCAAATCTTAACTAATTTCCAATTAATTTATCACATTTATTATTATAACCAAATTCCACCACACATTCTGAATTTCATTGGAATCGGTCATATATATCGTGTTTGGTGCATAATATGTATGAAATCGGCCGAAATATATATGTTAGCTATATCCAAACCTCAACTGATTTCAATATAATTTGGCAATTTTTTCTGGTGCCAGATTTTGTCCCTCTCGCTTTGGGTGCATCAAATATGTGAAATCGGCTGAGTATATATATGGGAGCTATAATCAAATCTGAGCGTATTTGAATATAATTTGTCAAATTTATTTTTGTACCAAATTTAGCCACTCATAATCAAAATCCCGTTACATATTCCAAATTTCTTTGGAATCGAACATACATATCGTGTATGGTGCATAAAATACATGAAATCGGTCGAAAATATATATGAGAGCTATATCCAAATCTGAACCGATTTTAATATAATTTGACAAATGTATATTTGTTTTAATTTCCGCTACACATTCCAAATTTCATTGAAATTAGAGATACATAGCGTGTTTGGTGCATCAAATACATGAAATCGGTTGAAAAAATATATGGGAGCTATATCCAAATCTGAACCGATTTCAATTTAATTTGACAAATTCATTTTGGCTCCCAATTCCGTTACTTATTTTAAATTTCATTACAATTGGAAATACATGTCGTGTTTGGTCCACCAAATACATGAAATCGGCCGAAAATGTATATGGGAGCTATATCCAAATCTGAACCGATTTCAATATAATTTGGGAAATCAATTTTTTAGATAAAATCTATCACACGTTTCAAATTTCATTGAAATTGGGGATACATAGCGTGTTTGGTGCATCAAATGCTTGAAATCGGCCGAAAATATATATGGGAGCTATATCCAAATCCGAACCGATTTCAATATAATTTGACAAATTTATTTTCGGATTAAATCCCGTCACATATTCCAAATTTCATTGGAATCGAACATTCATATTGTGTTTGAGGCATCAATCAATAGATATGTGCATATAAAATCTAAATTTTTGCGAGGTACCTCCGATTCTGATGCTATATCTCCAGTTACAAGTGGAAATTCAAAAATGTATATAGCCTATGTTACTTTCAGGCGATGTTGCAGTATATATGGAAATTTTCAGGAAAATCTATTCAGCGGTTTTCGAGTCCATAAATTACAAACAAACAAACATACAAACATTTTCCTCTTTTATAGATATAGATATATATACATAAGAGTTCACATACTGGTCGATTAAAAGTGTTTTAAAATACCTGTACCCATATTTAAGCCGTGGGCTTCAATATTTAAGCCATGGGCTTCAAATGTGTGGATGTGCTAAAATTAATTTTTAGTATGGTAAAAATCGTAGCAAAATTTTCCAGTCAAATGAGCAGTAATTTGGAATTTACTGTATTTTGTACACCTCGTAATTGAGGGCTGAATAATTTAAGAATAGCCAAAGTTAATTACTTTTTTAAACCCATTAACAGCTTAGATTGTGCATTAGAGTCCTCATAAGTCCCCTTAACTATGTCTGTCTGTTTGTCCGCCAAAAGGTGGACTTGAGGGGGTACTATTACATGGAGAAAATTCTAAAATTTTTAGATTTGTGTAAGATTTTCACCCCCCAAATACACATTTTAAGCCAAAGCCTTTGAACATCGACCTACATTGAAAACTGTCTTCCACACCTTATAATCCAAGACGACAAATAGAGGCCAAATCAAAAATTTAGCCGAACAACATAGCCTGTCAAACTGAAAAAAATAGCGTGATTTAAATATGTAAAAATTGTTTTATCCACCTCATAATTGAGGGCAGACTGATTTCAGAATAGTCAAATATAATTACTATTTTACCGTAAGATGGGAATTAATTTTATTTCCCATTTAAATTGTAAGCTGGAGACCCCATAAGGTCCATATTTTTCATCATAGTATAATTCGATGACGATTCAACAAATATTCGGTCCCGTGCTACTTTCTTATATTTGTAATTTGTTCGTGTTTTCACAATTTATTTCATATAGATGTACATCCCAAATCTACGTTCCCAACCAATATTCTCTTGGGGGTTACAAATTCAATAGAATACAAAATTGTCTTTTCTGACCGCACATTAGATGTTAAAGTGGACTTGGGGATACTCCAATATGGGGACTTTACTTAAATAAATTCCTATGTGGCAATTATCTGTATGATGGTTCCCTATCCCAGGGTAGCATAAACACAATTTTTTAGCCAAATCAATTGATGAATGTGGTCAAGACCAATATGGACCCTACTATGAAAATTTCAAATTTTATGCGAAGAGGTTCTCTACCCCCTTAGAAACAAAGATTCCAAATAAGGGCCAAAATATTAATAAAGTGACCAAGACCCCAAAAATAGCTTAAATCATACGATGTTTATATAAATATGAAATCGGATACCGGTACCCTTATCCGTGAGTTCTGATTGATATCATGACCTGCAAAAGCGATTTAAGGTATCTTGAATGTTTGGGAAGAATTTCTGGAAGGATAGAAATCCTTTTCTTAACAAAAAGTCCCATTCGCTCTACCATTTTGCACCCTTTATATGTGCACTGAGGGAAAAATCCCGTTGCGAAATCAAGCACGTATGTTGTCATTTTCGCAACGACCCGTTGTTATATTTTTCAACAACGGCTGTTGGTGAATTGTGCACGAACGTGCTCAAATTGACACCGAGACGTGGTCAACTTTCGGTACCAACAACAGCCGTGCTTAATTTGTCCATTTGTAATATTGGTAATTGCAGCCGATTACACACGAGTAAAAAATGACAACGGTGGTGCATGATTCACACACGGTCGTTGTCAATATGACACCGGTCGTGTATGAATTATGCACCACCACCTGCATAATGATGCACCACCGTTGTTACTTTGTACACCGACGTGCATGAATCGTACACGATCGTTGCCATTTTAGCAACTACCGTGTATGAATCATGCACCACCGTTGTCATTTTTTTTACTCGTGTGCAATCGGCTGCATATTTACCATTTTTTCCGTGTTATTGAAAGAGAAAGGACGCATTGTGCAAAAAATTTATTGAAAATGAATAATAATTCGCAAGATCCTCAAAATATCATTGGTGAGTTGTTAGAAATCGATGGCAATATTGTTGTGGTTCGCGATACAAACCATTGCAGCAGTCAAGATGCGGAAAACAATGAGGACGATTATATGTTAAGGGAGTTCTTAAAAGGAATAAATATGGAGTCGCTTTTTGAACAATTAAAAGGTAAGTAAATAAAAATGAATTTTTCAGTTAATCAGTGTAATTAACAAAGAATTTTCTTTTTTGTTCTTTTAGCATCACATGTAACATTTCGCAGCTTGCAGTACTTGAAAAAAGAAGATTTAAAGGAAGCAGTGCCACCATTGGGACTGCGTGTTGAATTCAGAGAAAAGCTCTTTGCTTGGAAAAAACGAAAGGTACGTATTATTTGTTTTACAGAGTTGAACTCAGTATTAATATTGTCATAACAATAGCTCGGGATTGATGACGAAACTATGTCAGTTCCATCTAAAATAGGTGAATGGTGGAAACGCAACGAGACACCTGCAAGTACTCCTGGTACTCCCGACACTACAGGTTCGAACTGCTCAAAAGCCAAAGGAATTTTGTCAGAGGTAAGGTAAGAGTAATATTTGTGTAAGCATAGTTAATGTAGTTTTTTTATTTAATATAGGATCTAACGGAATTGTTAACACATACCTCGAAGGGGAAACTAGCGCTTGAATGTAGTAGCGTTAATAAGAAATTAAGTGACGAGCAAAGAGATGATATAATTAATATAATTATTGAAGATATTTTAACCAACAATGTTACTCTTTACACTCAAGACTATATGCGCATATTGGATGAAATTTGTTCCGTTTTTCCTCTTGAAAACGAAATGAGGGTAAGATTAACAATATAAACAACGTATCTGATTATGTAGTTTCTTAACTTATAATATGTCTTTATTTTTAGGATTATTATTACATTTCAAGAAAAGGAAAGAACAACGCAAGCGGAAAACTTTATGCCAAGTATAGAAACAAGAAGTCCAAAAGAATAAAGCTTTTGATTTCCGAGCCTAGCACAAGCAAAGCAGCAACTCACACATCTCCTAATTTTTGTAACAAAGATGTTCCAGAAATTGATGAATCAGTTGAAATTTCATTGAAAGCTTCCTTACTAAGAGAATGTAATGATTGGGGATCGATCTGCGAAAAATGGAAAAGATCTTTTAACATACGGCAAAGAGATATAAAAAATTTAAGTAGCCATACATTTCTCCTAGAATGGACGAAGTTGTCCGATGCAAGAGCTTCAGAATTGGTAAGTAGCCATGAGCTATTTATTTGTATATGGATACTAATGTTTCGTTTTAGGTCAACATTGATTTCGATATTATGTATCCACAGAAAGGCAATCTTCTACTTTCTAAATGGGACCAATTTAAGAAAAAAATTTACAATTATTATGGGAAAAATATTCATAACGAACATTGCAAACAACTCTTCGCAAATGTTTTGACGGCAAGCAGCATAGGTAAATTTTAATTCCTGATTTATCATAAACATTAAAAGTAATATTTATTTTATATTTCGGTTGCAGATGCTCAAGATTATATATACGCAATACTGTTGAATTCAGTTTTACCATCACCTGCTAGGTTTAAATGTGGAAACGGTAAATTACGAAAAAAAGTAACAATAGCTGATTCGCAGGAAAGTTTCGTACTGCGACTACCGACAATTAACGATTATAAAAGGCAAATTGATACAGTCACTGAAAAGTATTACAATGCTGGATTAACTATACAGCCATTTATAATTGTGGAGGGTTTGTCCGATTTCAATATAAAAGGTTTTTATGTTTTTTTTAACCACAATTTGTTAAAATTTCAATCGTTCCTCGAATGTTTAGATACATGTTTTAAAATTTTTCATGCACTTTCTTTAAAATATCCAAATGCCTGCCAAATTCCATGGATTTTTATCCAAAAATATTTTTATGAAATTAATACTGTATATGATATAAAATCAGTTAATTTGACTTCACTTATTAATTTCTGCAACAATAATTAAAGTACAATTCAAAATGTATATTTGCTTTCGTTGCCGTAAGCATTTTGATAAGGCAAATTTATGTAACCAAGTAAAAGTTAAAAACTTTGATTACCATTTACAATCGTATGAAGTTGGTTCTCTGAATGAGGATACAATTTTTTTAATACCAATTTTAGATTTTATTACTTACCCATTTCACTTATATCCTATGAATAATGGAAAAGTTTATTTCAGATTTAAGTTAATTTAATTTGTTTCTATACATTGAATATATGTAATTCGAATTGTTTTGTTAAATCAAATATGTATTTATATTGAATTTATGTAATTGGTTTCGTTCAATAAAATACTTTTCAAAAAATGTCGTTTCTTCTACTAAGGGTATAAAATGGAAAAGGAACGGATATCAAAAAATGACCACCATTGATTTCAATCTGACAACGGGCGTTGACAATCCGACAACGGAGCGTTGACAATCTGACAACGAAGCGTTGACGATCTGACAACGAAGCGTTGACAATCTGACAACGGGGCGTGCTCGAAATGACCACGTATGTGCTCATTTCATGCACATCTGTTGTTGAAATCGTTGCCAAAATCTCGGTGTCAAAATGACAACAGCGTGCTCATTTTGACACCAAACGTGGTTGATACACTATCATACACGGATGTGGTCATTTCATACACGGATGTTGTCATTTTTTCTCTGGGTGTGGTATTTTACTGATTGTACTCCCAAAGAATTTTGCATTTTGAGCTCTCATTGGATGGATTATTGTCAGGTGAAAGAAGTAGGTCTACGCTTTGAAATAAGCTCCATTAGGCTTTTTCGGTCATTTTTGTTTGTTTAAATGTGTTCGCATCTTCCAGCTGAACCACGATGTAGGCCCTGGAGTTGAAAGGTAGATGTCAGTTAAAATCCTATTTCGCACTTATTTCGTTTGTTTGGTGAAAAATTGTATATAGTGAAAAATTATTCTTTATTTTGTTCACAAAAAATCCACTGAATTCAATATGATAATACAAATTGAAAAAAATTGACAAAAGAAGAATAACAAATTGAAAAAATCTTCAATTTGTTCGCCGATTTTTTACAGTTAATGTTTAAAGATCCTTCGAAGTTTGTCAATAGAATGTTCTATTATTTTAAAAATCGATTAGGTTGCGCCACCACATAATTCGGTACTACACTTCCATGTAAATCGACATAAATATCAGTTCTCAAGAAATAGGTTATAATTTTTGATTTTTATTCTGTACCAATGTATTGTTCTATTTATGTGAATTTTTTTTTGTGCCCTGAAAATTACATGAAATATACGATTTTTTGCTTTTTCAATGTATTTGTTGCTTTTGTTTTGCGCAGTACTGTATATATATATATATATATATATATATATATATATATATATATATATATATATATATATATATATATATATATATATATATATATATATATATATATATATATATATATATATATATATATATATATATATATATATATATATATATATATATATATATATATATATATATATATATATATATATATATATATATATATATATATATATATCTATACAGTACTGCGCAAAACAAAAGCAACAAATACATTGAAAAAGCAAAAAATCGTATATTTCATGTAATTTTCAGGGCACAAAAAAAATTTCACATAAATAGAACAATACATTGGTACAGAATAAAAATCAAAAATTATAACCTATTCTTGTTTTATATTTTTGATGAAAATCGAAATTAATATGACTAATCAACATTTTTGTGTGTGCAAAACAAAAGCAACATACTAATATTTGGTATAAGAACCATTATTTTTTATTACTTCTGCACATCTGCGAGGCATGGACTCTATTAAATTATGTATAATAACTTCAGGTATTTCTTCCCAGTTCTGTTTAAGAGCTTCGAACAATAAATTCTTTTGGAAAACTTCTGACCCGAAACACTCCTCTTCAAAATTCCAAAGAGATTTTCGATCGGATTAAGGTCTGGCGATTGTGCCGGCCAATCCAGGACTTTAATTCCATTGGCGGATATGTAGTCTTTAACAAGTTTCGAGGTGTGTTTCGGGTCGTTATCATGTTGGAAAATCCACTGAAGTGGCATATTCCACTCTGCATATGGAAGCATTTGATTTTCCAAAATACCCTTATATACAAAACGATCCATAACTCCATCAATTCTATGAAAAGGGCCAACGCCACAATACGAAAAACAAGTCCAGACCATTATACCACCCCCTCCGTGTTTAAAATTAACCTTACAGTTTCCAGGTTCAAGCCGTGTACCTGGGCGACGCCGTACTGTATACATTCCACCGTAATTGATCAAATTAAATTTGGACTCGTCGCTGAACAAAACGGTTTTCCACTTTTGGATGGTCCAATCGAGATGTGCTTTTGCAAAATTGAGCCTAGAAATTAGTAATATCAACAATATAACAAACAATTTTAGACAATTAAGTTTAACGTGAAACACCAACCTTTTCTGCTTATGCCTGGCTGTAAGTAGGGGTTTTTTGGCAGATCTGTAACTTCTTAAATTATTTTCAATTGCTCGTCTGCGAACTGTGCTATGGTGGATACTTAAATTGAGTGTCTTTACAACCTCTTGAGATGTAGCAAATGGATTTTTTTTTGAACATGCCACAAATTTTTCTATCGTCAAGTGCCGTTGTCTTCCGTGGCACATTCCACCAGAATGCACGGTTATTACGTCATGTGTATTATTATACTTTTTTATTAGTCTACAAATAACAGATCGATTAATATTGAACTGCTTGGCAATTGATATTTGAGATTTTCCATTCTTATATTCAGAAATAATTTGAGATTTTAAGGCAGTACAATATTTATCTCGAGCCATCATAAAATGAACGGAACAGTGAAAGTTAGGACAAGAACTAATGCAAATATTATTGAATATCTTGTGTCACGCCACAAAAAGAATGTTTCTATCAAAAGTACCGTTAATATTTTCGATTGGTTTACTCTTTTTGCATACTTCATAATTTGTTGCTATTGTTTTGCACTCTCTTTTTTAAAGATCCACGGTTATTGTCTCATTTGTAACATTACTGTACTTCAAAAGCTAAAAGAGCTTTATTAGAATTATTCTCATAACCACAAAGCAAAAATTTGAGTAGACATTGTGTTTCAAAGTGACTTAAAACTTAAAACTAAAATAGGATGCATATTAAGACACATTTTGTTGCTTTTGTTTTGCGCAACACTGTATATATAATTAAACTTGAGCGAACTTGAATATAATTTGACAAATTTATTTTCGGATCAAGTCCCGTTACACATTCCAAATTTCATTGGAATGTTTGAGGCATCAAATGAACGAAATCGGTCAAAAATATGTATGGGAGCTATATCCAAATCTGAACCGATTTCCATATAAATTGGCAAATATATTTTCTAATCAAATCCTTTTTCCGAATTTGGAGACTGTATCTATAATCGATCAATAGATATGTGCATATAAAATCTAAATTTTTGCGAGGTACCTCCGATTCTGATGCTATATCTCCAGTTCCAAGTGGAATTTCAAATATGTATATAGCCTATGTTACTTTCAGGCGATATTGCAATATACATTGAAATTTTCAGGAAAATCTGTATAGCGGTTTTCAAGTCCATAAATTACAAACAAACAAACATACAAACATTTCCGCTTTTATAGATATAGTCTAGCTGAACCCGGTGCGCTTCGCTACCCCTTTTGATTTTATATGCATTCAAAAATTTTTTTACGAATATATATTAGATAAAATAATAATAAACAAAACCATTAGAAAAGCAGTAACATGACATGCATACACGAAGGGTTTGTCCTTCGGATTTATTTATTTCATAACAAATACCAAGCGTGCAGCTGCAATTGAAACTGCAATTTTTTGAAGTTGAGTGGCTTTTCTTTTGCAGTTAGTGAATTCGACGTAGCAACATACTTCCCCGTAATAAGCGTATTTCAAATTAATTGTTGTGTTGTTTTTTAGTGTTAGCCTGATGTGGCGTTTCCACTGCACTTCATTCGCTCTTTATTCGTTGTTTGACCCATAACTATGAAAAAACTAGTTAATTCTTCACACAAAATTCCCTGAGCGAACACTCATATTTGTACGTTGTTCAAATCAAATCACTCTCAGAACAACGAAAAAATGTCTCCCATCCCTATCAAATGAGAGCATTTATCGAAAAAATAAATTATGACATTTAAAAATTAAAAATAGAAAAATTTAATGAAATTTTAAAAAATTTTGGGAAGACTGAAAGTTATGAATGAAAACTACAATGTTAAATGGCGTATGTACATTCAAACGAAAGTAAATTTTGTTTTCTCTCTCATTCGAGGTACGCATTTGGTCCACGAGTTGAAATTTCCACAGAAAACTGCTAACAAAAGAGACAATATTTTCAAAATGTTTCTATCGGCAGAAAAATGTTTGACAAGTGTCTCTCCAACAGAATTTAAAAATGGAAAAACACAAAAATATGATCAAAATGTCAACATTTACACAAAAAGTTGAAAACGTGAATGAAAATTGTAAAATTAATGATATAATAAATCTTTGGGAGGAAAACAATAATTTCTTCTATTCATATTAGTGAGAATTTCATGTATTTTCGTATAAATTCCCATTAAAATCAACAAACAAAATTTTTGAAAAAAGGAATTATTTTACTATGAATTACGAATCGTGCCGTATGAACGGGTTAATTCGTGTACCTAATTCTGAGAGTGAACAACGTTGTTCGGTTTCCAATGGAAACATGCTATGAGGCGTTGTGGGTCAATGGTTCTTATTAAAATCATATCTCAATCTGATCCGATTTAAATATAATTTTAAAAAAATTACTTTTACACCCAATTCCGCCACAACTTTCATATTTCATTGAAATTGGTGCGTCAAATATGTGAAATCGGCCGTGAATATATGTATGGGAGCTATATCCAAATCTTAACTAATTTCCAATTAATTTATCACATTTATTATTGTAACCAAATTCCGCCACACATTCTGAATTTCATTGGAATCGGTCATATATATCGTGTTTGGTGCATAACATGTATGAAATTGGCCGAAATATACATGTTAGCTATACCCAAACCTCAACCGATATCAATATAATTTGGCAATTTTTTTTCTGGTGCCAGATTTCGTCTCTCTCTTCATCAAATATGTGAAATCGTAAAAGAATATATATGGGAGCTATAATCAAATCTGAGCGAATTTGAATATAATTTATCAAATTTATTTTTCTACCAAATTTAGTCACTCATGGCGAATTTCATTGGAATCAGAAATACGTATCGTGTTTTGTGCATCAAATATGTGAAATCGGCGGAAAGAAATATGTGAGCTATATCCAGATCTGAACCGATTTTAATATAATTTGACTATTTTTTTTTCGGA